CTCCAAGTATTTTGATTGACAATAGTGTCAATTTTCCACATTATACGATGCATGAGGTATTTGAAAAATTTAACGGCAAACCGAGTGAATTAGACAACAACGGCGAATTTTTAATTGACGAGTTTATGATCCAAAAATTTGGTCCAAAAGTACCAATAGAGAGTGGTGTATATCACGTATCACTAATCAAGTATCTCATTGACGAACTCGGTATGCCGCTATCAAATATTAAATACAAATTAATAGCCAAACATGAAATCGAGGCGGACACATTCAAAAAGTTTATGGTTTGCCTTTTTAACAACTTTCCAGAAGCTCATGCTAAAAAGTTGGCTAACAGTTTTATTGGAGATCTTGGCCGCAAATATGATAAGACAGATTACGGGTTTACTTGTACAGAATTACAAACTTGTCAGGATGTCTGGACGCAAGCTCTTGCGGGAGAAATAAATATCATGATAAATAAATTTGAAGATATGTACCTTGTACGCGAACAAAAATATCGAACGAATATTTTCTGATCATACATCCATTAACAGGTTTGTAATTTCCTGTTCAATACTTCAATGCCTGCAATATTTGAATGCAAATTGGACACCACAATCAGAGGTATTTAGTATCAACACTGATGCATGAGAGGACACTGAGGCTTTTTACTGGAAGTACAATCCCACGCAGGGATGTTTTCCCTGCGGGCAGCTAATCCGACTTAATCCCATTTAATATGTCGCGCTCCTCGAAAGTGCGAAAATTTTCTTGTCGTGTATTAGATTTCAGATAAAATTTTCAGATACATTTTATAATCTTCATTTCGCGCCAGAATAAATTAGTTTGCGCGCAAAGGGCTCCTGAAAAAATCACAAGGTTTGTCCCACTTCGAGTCTACCTTCTGGAGATACGCCGGCTTGGTAGCTGGAATACATTGCCGAGGCGAAGACCTGGCATTTTTTCCTCCTCGTCGTATTTTCTTCACGAGAAATGTTTATATTTGTAGTGAGAATGCAGCGCATATCGGTGGATTTTACTTCATGCGGCTTGCTACTTCTGAAAGAAGAGTGCCGGATTTCAACGTTTTTTTCATGTTTACTAGTGCTGGCAAATGTAAGGTAAATAAACCGACCACTGTAAGGTAAGAATTGAAGTTTTAAATTTGTTACTCGGCGAAAAATCGTGGAATTGGAATTCGTGAAACTCGTGAGTATTACCTCTGTTACCTAATGTCATGCGATGACTCCTCGCTTTTTCGATGCGTAACACGGATACAAGCGATAAATTTCTCTCGCAAAGTGAAGTATAATTTACTTAACGAGACCATTTGATGAATATTTCTCGTTATATGCTTTATTTATATTTGCTTGGCCTATTCAGGCTACATGCCAGAGTTTGATGACAATGTTTGTGTGCTATAATTATGCTGATAAGTCTTTGCACCTTTATATTGAAACTTATGTAAACCAAACGTTTGTTAACTCTAGCAAAACACTCTTCTATTACGGAGGAACTTTTAACGTCTTTCGGGGCCCAATATGGTGTCAAATTTTTAGGGAAAACAAAGCTTGATTTTTGGCGAAACAGACTATAGCTTTTTTTGTCTTTGAAGAGAGCGCGAGGCAAACGTCCGTGAGCGCAGTGTAACCCAGTGATTCTTTAGGTAGAGCTAACAAACACAGGCTGCACTTTAGGTGGCACACCCATGGGTGCAGTGTAACCCAGTGATTCTTTAGGTAGAGCTAACAAACATAGGCTGCACTTTAGGTGGCACTCCCATGGGTGCAGTGTAACCCAGTGATTCTTTAGGTAGAGCTAACAAACACAGGCTGCACTTTAGGTGGCACACCCATGGGTGCAGTATAACCCAGTGATTCTTTAGGTAGGCTAACAAACATAGGCTGCACTTTAGGTGGCACACCCATGGGTGCAGTGTAACCCAGTGATTCTTTAGGTAGAGCTAACAAACATAGACTATACAGGTGTAAATCAGATCGCAACAAGTTTTCCAGTTAAAACTTTGTCATAAAGAGCTACACGATGGCACGTCGACTATTTCTTTATCGCGCTTGTTTTGACGCACAATTGATAGTCAGGAGAAGTCGTATTGTCTAAAACCATAGCAAAAGACAAATTTACGCACATCACAGAGGTAAGGTAAGGTAATACACAGTATTTCCTTCAGGTACATTTACATTCAAGTATAGAAAAATAACTACTAATAACTAAGCTAGAAATGAATCTAAGATAAAAACTAAAATAACAACTATATAACAATAAAGAACCTGCTTTAAATTGAGGCCCTGTGTAAACTTGTGTAAAGATACATATATCTAAATTAAGGCTTTTTAATTTTCCTTTAAAAAAATTATTGCCGCACCTTCAGAGACAAGCTGTTCTACAACACTCTTCCGTTATAAGAAAGGCTTCTTTTTTAAAATTCAGTGCGGGGTTGTGGACCAGCGAGCTTGTTTGAATTCATGCATTTTCTGTTAGGTTATAAGCGATTAAATCGCATGCAGCGACGAACAAAACGCGAAGCCGTCAGACATTCTAGAACCGTGTTATTTACAGTGCTATACATCATTATTGCTTAACCAACTAACTACGCGCTGATGGAAATAAGTTTCGGCGGCTTTAAATTTGAAACAATTCACTGGTACTGTATAGTCATAATTGGAGCGGAAAGTTAGCACGCGAGCAGGGCGATTCTGCTGTAGTTTCTGCAATGTAGAAGATATTACGGCAATGAGGCTCCGGAGGGACTCCCGAGGTCCGTTCCCGAAATCACAACTACACGTAGGATGAAATGTATTCTGTTTGCAGACGTCTCCTTTTCCAGGTTAGGCTAAATAAACCTTACCAACGGTTTGTTTGACAAAGCTCCCGCGAGACGGTTTCTTGGTGATTTTATTAATTTTTCCGATCCTTTTTTTTTATCTCTATTTTCGCAGCTTTTGCAATACAAACTAAATTCACTTTTAGTTGTGATGGCATTACACTGCTTACTCATGACGGCTTTGGAAGAAACTGAATAATTATATTGTGCTTCGCGATTTCGCAGAATCGCCGGGGAATTAAAAAATATTTTCTTCCAAAAAAGTGTTTTCACGCTTCTTTCTCCAGTCAATTATCTCGTTTGTCTCGTTTTCTAAAGTTCCTTGAAAACTGAATAAGACAATATTTTATTACCTGCAACCTAAAAACCTGATTTATTTTGACCAGATCGAAACAAAACTGACCTCTGAAATGGAAGAAGAAAAGCCTTTTATCTTTGCCGGCTTCGGCCTGCCGAAGCGATTGTGTCTGGTTTGCTTTCATATGATGACATTTTCCCGACAGAACGGTGTCGGGAATAACACTTCGCGCTGATCATACGTGACAAAATCCGCCGCGCGTAAGCTAATGAAGAAAAGTCTCCTCGAAAGCTCCATACAATTCCTTATAACAAAATTATAAGGAATTGTATGGAGCTCTCCGGGATACTTACAGTGCAAGCCCTGTGTGTCTCCTCATGCTTTTTCATGACAAACCCAAAACACAGGTATAGAAATAAAGCAGATGTTAACTTTACTGTCAAAAATATTGGTAAAGCATTTATTACTAATTCAAAAGCAGATCATTTTGTAAAGAGATATCGCGACAAATTTGACATGAACGATTTTAAGGATGTTATAAGCAAAACGGGCAAAATTTATTATGGGATGCCCGTTTGCGGTAAATCATGGTGGCTTTGCAAATTGATATACAAAAATCGTGATAAATGCATTGTATTGTCCCATACTAACAAAGCCGTTTCGAACATTAAAAACATACTTCA